CAGAACAACCAGTCTGACCTCCAAATCGGGTGTGCAATATAAAATTCTCTCTTTTTCCATCAGAGCAGCAGGAGGCTGTAGAGCTCTGCTGACCCTGAAGGTTGCAGAGGAGGTTGGGGAGGGATGTCTTCAGCCTTTGGGAAGAAGGCTTTTCCCGGCTCAAAAAAAAAAAAACAAAAAAAACACCCCACAACCAAAAAGGAGCTTTTTTCCGGTTCTTTTTGCTGTGGGTCCTTTCCCCAGTTCGGACTCACCTGCCCTGAAGTCAATCTCCACAGAAATTACGTTTAGCCTGAGTTTTTATCGCAGTGCAGAAGAATGTTCTTGTTTGGTTAGCAGTAGAAACTTGCAAGTTCATCTGCTTTCTCCAAGAAAATCCATGGGATTGATGGCCCTGAGATAAAGGCTTTTGTCTGTAATGAGATCTTCTGAATGGGACTGGGCTGGGTAGATGGCTCTAACTACATGGCTGTTATTGCATCTTGTACGTCTTTGTAAAAGGACAATACATGGATTATATTGCAAAGAGGCCTGATTGTCATACAGTGCCTGTTTAAATCACAATGTTTACTCTAGCGTATTGTTAAGTTTTCCTCAAGCTCTAGTACTCGGCTGCTTCCAAATAAAGAGCTTGTCTGGAGAAGCCTTCAGACTTTGCATCTCCTGTGTGTACAGCAGTGTCTGTACCATGAGTGAGTATCTGAGGAGTAATAGCTCTGATCTTCTTTTGGAGAGCCCTGGACGCAGGTACTTGTCTCTTAAAGACAGATCCACTTGGTTTGTGCTATTGTGTGTGTCTGCAGGGAGTACAGCCCTTGCAGCTGCACAGGCTGAGCTCTCGGCACTCTGTGGACCTGGAGAAAGCTTCAGTAGTGTTGTAAAATAGCATCTCTGGACACTTACACAGTCTGAGACTAATAATTGTAGCTGTTGCATCATGGATGTCTCTTTGCTCACAGGCATCAGGTTTCTAATGAAGCTAAATATGCTGGAGATGGATGAAGACTGTATGTTTCTCTGGTAGCACTTAACCAGCTGTTGAATTTTAACTTGTACAAATAATAGCTGCTTGTTTGATACTGTGAGCATTCTGCCATCTTTAAATTAAATCTCTTGTTAATGATGGCTATCACTGGGTCCTCAGCAGTGCTATCGTGTGAGTCCCTTTTAAAACATGTTTAATCCTTCAGAAACTGAACTGACATCTGAACTCATCTAAGGTGAGCACCCATGAGGTGGGGGTTTGCTGCCTGTCTCTATGAATTAGATGCAAAAAAACCCCTGTCCATGCAACATGATGTATGCATCACAACATACCCTCTACATTATTTGATGGTCAACCATGAGTCCAGAAAAATCAGCTGAAGGAGTGAAGCTGAGAAAATGGAACGTGAAAAATGATGTTGCCGGCTCCTTTTCCATGCAAGGTGTTAAGTGTCGCCTTTCTGGAGATGAAAAAAAGCGTGACTAGGAGTTCTCAAACTTTCATTTCATTTGTGTCAGCTGAAGGACACTGTAGAAGAGGACTTCCTTCTGTCTCTGTTCTCACTGCTCTGGGTTTGGGGCTTTTTATCTGTTCTTTGTTGCAGTATTTTTCTCTTGTGAAGGTTTGCCTGAAGCAAGAGCTCTAGCCGCTCTGTCTCTTAGGAATCATGATGATGAGCACTTGAGACTCTAGTAGGAAGTGAGGTTAAACTATTTGTCATCACCTCCAAATAGATCTTTTGGAAGCAAACAATGCTCATGTCAATAAATTGCTTTTGTGCTTCATCCTTCTCCTGTCATCCCAAGGTACTCCATTTCAAATCCATGCAACAAAAGTGCCTTCTCTTGAAAGAGCTTTCTCTGCCTGTGCCTGGAGTGTCAACTGCTTCATTGATGAAGAAAATAATGTTGTTGTTTGGCTCCTGAAGATCACCAAGTTAAAAAAAATTAAAATATTATAATAATTAATAATAATAATGATAATCCAGCCTTTAAAGACCAGAGGCTTGCGAGAAGAGCAGAAGATGCCAGTGCAAATGGGGTACTTCTGTACTTTTGGTGTTCTTCTGGGGAACCCAGCACCTGAGTTCAGGTGTTGGCTCTTTCTCTTGCACCAGCCTTCGCTCCCTCCGAGAGCCCCACGACATCCGAATGTGGCTGGGCCAGGGGCTCAGGGCTCCTTCCTGTGGGTCTCCTTTTGCAGGAATAATGAGTAACTGAATTTCTATACAGCAATATATCTGGGAGCTATTCCTGCCTGGCTTTCTTCAGCTAAACCCAGGAGGGGTTTAGCTGATGCTGAAGTTGGAGTGAAAATTTTGCCCATCCCTTGGCTTATCCCTGTCTGAAAACAGCTTGGCCTGATTTACTGCTCCTTGGGTTACTACAGTGGTAGCTTGATGTGAGCTAGAGGGAAAACTCTGTTCAGCCAGGCCCATTAATTTGGATTTTTTTTATTATTTTTTACTGTTGAATTCTGAAGACTATTTGACATATGTAAAATATGGCAATTTTTTGGCAGGTTCTTCACTAGTTCAAATTTGGGCTAAACTTGTAATAAAGTCTCTTTTAAAAGGTAACTCTATATTAGTATGAAGGATAGCACACTCTTGGTTTAATTATACAAATTCCAGCATGTTTTCTGGGAGGGCAGTTACATTTGATCCATACCTGGATTTCTCGTGCACAAATTCTTGGTGTTTAACACTGCACTAAATGGCTGGTTTCATGCGGGAAGGCATTATTGTTACGGGAAATTCTGTTAACTTTTTTCAAACTTTTATTATTTTCATACTTGGACGCCATTAGCCTTGCTCTTGTTCTTCTTTTTAAGTGGCTTTTTCTGATGTTGCTTTCACAGATAACTTCAGTGCTAAAGGTTTTAGCCAACTGTGCTTCTGGAGCTTAATATGCCTAATCAGTGTTGTTTGTGTGCAGCATTTCCATCCCTTGGCACGCCTTCCTGTTGCATTGCTGATGGGGTTCTGTAGCTGAGCTGAAAGCACTTAAAAGCATTTTGCTTGTCAGGGCCTGGAAACGCAATAAGTTCTGTAATCAATGAGGGGGGAGCGAAATAATGAAAAGGACAATTACGTGGGTCTGCACAGCCTGCGAGCTCTCCTGCCCTGCTGAATTTTTTTGCAGGATTTCAGTGTTTCCAGTGTATCTGGGATTTAAAATTGAGCGGCTTTGGCAGGGGGTGTCTCAAACCTAATACGGAGGTTGAGTGGGTCAGGCATCAGTGATGCAGTTTGCGAGCTACAGAGGGAACCAAAAAAAGAGGAAAAGGGTAGATAATTGAAGATATTCGTACAGGGGGATTTCTAACTTTAAGCAAATCACTTTTGTGCACATTGAGAAAGTTTTTTGTGCTTGCAGAACTTCTGTAAAAAGATGGTGATCTCTGTGCTTATTTGTCATCCTGGTGTATCACCTCTCCACTTGGAGGGGGGGAAAAAAAAAGGATGATACAACCGTGTTAGTTGAGCAGCCACAGAAAAATGGACTTCTTGCCTCTGTTAAAATCATTATTTCTCACAGTCATTAACAACTCTATTTCCTTCCCTTCTTGGTATCAGTCGGCTAATTTAAATTCACTCATCCCGATTTCTAATTAAGGATACTAACAAAAGAATTTTGCCCGCTCGTATCCTCCAACCGAGCGTTCCCTTTGGTTTGAACGTCTCTAAAATATTTGCAATAAATGACTCTGAGGGCTGGTTTCTGGGAGCTCCCGGCAGGGCAGGTCCCTGCAGGTGCTGCGGGAAGGTGGTCAAGGGCAACGGGAGGTTAGAAAGAAGCGTGGTGCTGCAGGTGGAACAGGTGGGACGTGGCTTTGCTACCCTTGGAAAATAATAGATTGTGCTTCTGCTGCTTCCAGAGCACTTCATGGGCACTAATCACGCTTCATGAAACCCCAGTGAGATGGGTAAGTACAATAAATTGAATCACACAGGTGTTACTTGGGCAAGGTAAAACAAGAAGTTAGTGGGCATTTTCAGGGAAGAAGAAATCAAAGAAGACGGATCATCAACCTGTTGTGCCTTGCCTCAAGCTCTGAAAATGCCGATTGATTTGCTGCTAATTGCAGAGGCACCCGGTTATCTCTTCATGCAGCCATACAGCGCAGAGGCCACATTTTTGGTGAAGTTAGAGGTCACGTGCCTGTCTCGGGAGGCAGTGGTTAAGGCACGAACCTAGATTCACCTTTGTTGTCACTGCTATTATTTTTTTTGACTCTTCGTGGACTAGTACCTGGTGTTCTGATTTTCCATCTGCAAAACGCCTCCCTTCTCTCAGACTTGGTTTTTTATTTTTATTTTTTTAATGCCTTGGCCTGTTGGATGAGAAGATCTCCAAGGCAGAGATCTCCAAGTGTTTGGATTCCTTAAGTTCTTGCCTGCTAAAATATTTTAAAGGCAATAAGTGGATTTGCAAGGATGTCTCAGCCTCTGCAGGTTGGGGAGAAGGAGTGTTTGCAGTTGATGCAACCTGGTGAGCTCCCTGAGGTGCTCTGTCTGTGGAGCACCCCGTCGGCTGCAGCTCTGAAGCGATTCTCTCTTCCCTCAGTCTTGTCTCTCTCTTTCAATTAGAGACTGGGATTTGCAGCAGAACTACATCAGGCTTCACAATCCTGGCTGTGCTTTATTTTAAATGCTTTCTGCTCTCAGAGACCTGCTGTGGGAGCATACGGAGTCGGGTGTTTTCTCTCTCTGAGATGGTCCCTGTAGGTTAGAGTTTCAAGTTTGTGATTATGGTAGGATTTGTTTGTCTGGATTATGGTAGAATAACTTGCAAGAAGAGGTGTTGATATTTCTACTGTCAAGAAAGAAGGCTTGAGTTTGTTTTAATGAGTAAAACTCTAACTCTGAATGTTTTATTGCATTGGCTAAAACACGCTGTTCTTCAAATGCTGCTCCCAGAGGATTTATTTGTATTTGATACCAGGAAAATACCATTCCTTACCATTCTTCTGTGTGGGTGTGTACACGTGTGTGCGTGTTTTTCCCGTGCAGGACAGGAGCGAATCGGCAAAGACTCCCACTACGAGCAGGAGGGGAAGGTCCAGTTCGTGATCGACGCGGTCTACGCCATGGCGCACGCGCTGCACCACATGAACAAGGACCTCTGCACCGACTACGCGGGAGTCTGCCCTGAGATGGAGCACGCCGGAGGCAAAAAGCTGCTCAAGTACATCCGCGGCGTTAACTTCAACGGTGAGCTCCAACCCTTTCTTCAGTCGCGTGTGGCTTCTTTCCATTTTATTTCTTTTTTATATTTTTTTTCATTCAATGCAGAACAATACTTTTTTTTTTTTTAGCGTTGTTATGCTAGAGTTTATGGGCAGAACACTGTTTAGGGTCTTTTCGAAAACATCATGTTTTAGCCAACACAAGTAAGCTGCTGCTGCCCAAAGGCAGAAATCACTGCTCCCGTTTTAGGAAGGCTTCCAGAAGACTGATTTCCTAAGAGAGAAATAACTGGGTGAAAACCTAAGCTTGTTTCTGACTAAATATGCCTGTTGAAACTCTAGAAGTTTGTCAGCATCACATATCATTTTTAACTCTTTATTTATGTTGTTCCCTGTGCTTGGAGAGAGCTGGATGAAATCCCGGCACCCCGACGCGGGGTTAGCTGTGTGCTCGAGAGAAGGGAGAGGACAGCTAAAGGGTTCACTCGCAGAGCCAGAACTGTGCGGTTTAGAGTTAGTTACTCCAACTTTCATTCCTCCAGTAAGACTTCAGAGCAGAAGAAACATCCTGGGAATGAGGATGAGAGCACTTGATCTCTCTGCTTGTCGCTTGCCCATCTGCGCTTCCGCGACGGCGCCAACAGTGGCAATTCCAGCCCTCTTATTTCAGACCGCACAGTAGGCTTTCATGCGCTATTATCTGCATTGCACTATATGAATAAAGCCTAAATATGAGCTGAAATTCCTTGCCTCTGCATGTTTTAGTGTTATTTTATTAGTTTCACTAACAAATATTCATGTGCAACCAGCCAAGAGGCACTGGAGCCAGTTGCTTACCTGATGTTACGTCTCCTGCGTGAACTTTGCTGATCTACTTGCCAGGAGGTCTGATGGCTCTTGCAGTAAGATCCAAGATTTAACCAGGAGCCAAAAGTTAGACCTCCAAACCAGTATTCAGAACAGATTTAGAAAAGCAGTGAAAAAATAACCTTTTTGAAATGTGAGGCATCCGGGGCTGTTGCTGCCTGGGAAGAGGGTTTGCATGAGCTTCGTCGCTCTTCCCTGCTGCCATCAGCTAGTAAACATTTTTACTAATAAACTTAACAAAACCCACACATAGCCAGTAGGACCCAAGAGATTTAAAGGTAGGAACACAGATGGTATTTTGTGGTCAAGCTTGATCATTTTTGCCAAGGTTATTTTTCCTTCCTGTATAAATCACCTTCTGAACAGCGAGGTGAATATGAGGAGATTTTAATTTCTTCCCTTGAAGTAAGTGGTGTTAACTACAGCCAGGAGCAAATTTTAAGATGAATGATCTGAGGAGGTCTGGAGAGCTCTGCTTTCCCTATTTCTGAAGGTTAATTATAAAGGACAGAGCTCCTGTAGAAGTACAGCGTTCGTATACAGAATTGCACTTGGGCCATTTTAGTACTGAAAAGCAGCCCATACGTGGTCATCTCTAGACACTTCTTGCATATAAAGATGCTGAACGCTCACCTAATTGCTTTAATAGAGCTGAGACATAGTTTATGAGAAATTGGTGTTGCCTACTGTCCAGCTCCAAGAATTGTTTGCACCAACTTTGGTTTCCTTATTTGTGTTTCCTTTTAAAAGATTACTTTTTTGTGTTTGGTTTCCATGGCCATGTGGTGGTTTTCTTTGCTTGTAGAGATGTAACTGATGTCCAGCCCGGGGACTGAAACCACAGTTTGTTTTTTAGCATGGGAAGGAGAATGGTGGCAGGGCTGAGATAGCTTTAAGCCTTTTTAGTTTCTTTTGGCTGTCTGGGTGTAGACATTTTCTGTAGGGGAAAAAAACCCAATTCTTTTAAGGTTTGTCATCCAGGGGCAAGGTTTAGCTTTTCTTATGTCACATTCATAGTGCGTAGCTGCACATGTGTTTGTAGAGCCAGGCTCCATTTTTAGCTGGGACCCTCCTGAGGGGGCCCTTCCTCGGGCCATGGAAAGATATTCCTAAACCTGTTTCTTCTCATTGTTCTGGAAAAGTGAATTCCCAGAACTGCTCTACGTTGTTCAATCTTCCTAGAGGTGTGGGATAAACAGCGCTCATAGAACTCACCAAACAGATGAGGATGGCCTGAAAAATGCAGAGGGATGAGGGAAGGGAAGAAGCCACGAGAAAGCTTTGGCTGGTCCAGTGGTGCATCCTCGTTGATGAAGCCTGGGAGCTCCTGGGACCCAGGTGCTGGTGCCTGCATGTTCCTCAGCCATCGTGTCGTGGCTGGGAGGGCAGGGACAGAGATTTCCTAACCTCAGGAAGGTTAGGACCTGGAAAGCAATGTTTAGTCTATGCTTTTAAATCCTGTTTTCCTAGTCTTCCACCTAAATTTGTAGCAAAACCAGAAAGCAGAGCAGTGGGAGAGATTTGCCCAAACTGTGTGCCAGAGAGGAAAGAAACTGTATCCCAATTTCGAGCATCCTGAGCCCCTGAGTTTGAGATCCTCTTTGCATGTCGCAGATCTCCCTGTCACTGTGCAGTTGAAGTCATCCTGTCGGTACCTGCTTTTGGAGTCTTGTCTTCCTGGCGAAGGTAATGACATTCATGCAGAAAGAGCTCAAGCGATGCTTTAATGAAGAGTGACTGGATTTGTACTCGGAGCTCAGTGTGAATTTTGATATCATCACGCTACCTTGAGAGCAAAAAAGGCCCAAAATATGGAAAACTTAAAACCTCAAGTGTTCAGGCAGTGAGATTCTGAAAATCTCAAAGTGCAAAGCAGCTGTATTTTTGCAGGTGAAGGTTCTGTTCGTAGGAGCCCTTCAGGTCCTCAAACTCCAGTAAATGTGAACTGAATAATAAGAAACATCTTGTCTAGTTACACCTGTCTAGCGCCCTGTCCTTCTACTAATTCATTTCTTGTCCCGTGGTGGTTAAGAGTTTGAAACCCTACAAATTCGGTCAGATCATGTCTTTTTTTTTTTTTTTTTTTTTTTTTTTTAATGCATCTTGCAGGTGAAAAGGTGTCATGTACTCCCCGAGTCTGTGTGGTGCGAAGGCAGTTTATTGTTGGGAACTGAAGATTAAATTGTCATAGCCTCTGAATGAGCGAGAAGCTGCAGTCTAGAGGCTAAGGCTCCGTTTCTGAAGGGCCTGCTGGGGCTGAGCAAAATTCTTGTAAATCTTAATAGAAGGAAAATAAATCCTACCTAATCAAACAGCCAAATAACCGTGTGTTTAAATAGTTAGAAGATCAAGAAGTGAAATAACGAACGGGGTCATTTTTGAAAATGCTCTTTCTTCTCTGTAATGGCATTTTCATACATTTTATTATTTTCGTGAGCGCACGAAGGAGCTTGAATTGCAAGTGGGGGCTGAAATGCTGTAGCAATTTAAAACAGGCCTGACAGGTGCCCACGGACAGATGGTACAAGAAGAGCACCAAAGAGCCCACACCAAAGCTAAAGAAGGTTTGCACTTACCGAGCAGATCCTTGGCCGGGAGTCCAATTCCTCCAACTTCAAAGTCAGGAGACAGGACACTTCTGCTTGACATGTGACCTGAGATTATAAGTTCTTTGCATTTCTATGGCTCTTCATCTTCCCTTACAGATCCCAGATTTCTCGCAGCTTTTCCCTGTATAATTTTAGTACGTGTGTGACCATGCACATGAGCACAGCAGCAGATGCGTGCTGCTGCCGACCAGGTATCCATGCCTGAGGTCGCTATCCCGAGGGACTGTGCCTTTGGGGCCTCCAGGGGTGACCCAGCAGATAATGCTGCATTGTGCCCTCTTGCTTCACTTGAGCTTGAATTGTACTCTTTTTTGTCAGCTCTGACAAAACCAAGCTTAACTCGCAATATACAGCCTTTTAAGAGTCGTGATTAGCTAAATCCCATTTACCATTTGTGCTGACTTTGAGGGAGCCTAGGAATTACAGCCATTTCTTCTTATTCACTTTAAGTGTTTTCACTGTGAATGTATTCTGGCTACATTAATCTGTAATGACAATTAAATATCAGCCTAGTGCTCATAAGGAACCGGTAAGGGGAGATTTCAGCGGGAGATTTTCTGTCTTTGAATTGAATCTGTATCTGATCTCAGAGGATTGTAGGATAGACAGGAAACATTTTACCAGAGCTAGAATGGAAACTATGCTAATTCACTCCTTCAAATCTTTTTTTTCACTCACTGGAATTCAATGAAGAGTGGGAATCATGAGGAAAACCATAATCTTAAAGTTCAATGCTACAACAGGAGAGATTTTTTTTCATTGCTTTAGGGGAAAAAAAATTACGCAGGAGGAGGAAGCTTTGAATATAGATATGCTGGAGTATTGTCATAATCTTCAATCTTGACACAATATTACTCTACCCTACTGAAACCTATTTTAATGCGTCTCAAAGTAAATGTCACACTTGGAAGTTTTCGCCTAGAGATCTGAGGCAGTGCATCACTGCTTTGAATTCTCTCCTCCAAAAAAGGGTTCACATCAAATGCTGCAGTAACTAAAACGCAGGTGTTGTGGTGAGACCTCGCCTGGGGATCAGGAATTTGTCCATCCCATTGCTCGGCTTTGCTCAGCACTGGGCACAAAGGACGGGTTCTGGGGGTGTCCTTGCCTTGTTGCATCCCTGCACTTCTTTCCCGGTGTTTGTCACCTCAGTGTCTGGCAAATAAAGTTAACTCAGGATCCTGAGCTGTTCCTGAGCAAGATCCTTTTCAGCTTATGTCAAGAAGGGACTAGACAAGGAATGGTCTTCCTAGAGCTTGGTCTGTTCTTTTCCATCTCGACTGCATGCTGCTGATGGGAATAAGAACATATTGTGGAGGAGGAAGCTATTTCTGGATGCTAGTCAAGATTCACTAGACCTGGGCTGACTTCTGACAGCAGTATCTCTCAGAAGCAGATGGAACATTTTCTGGGCGAAAAAAATCATTTAGAGGCTCCATTCACAGGAGTGATTTTCACTAAAGAACTCCCTGAGGAAAGAGAGATGGGAGGGAGGCTGGAGGGCAGGAAGAAAAGCCTTGTGATATTTCTTGCTTTGTGCAAAGCTAGAGTGAAGTAAGACTGATCTACTCTTGCTTTGTTTTATTTTTAGGCAGGAAGTTTGGGCAGTGATGGTTAATCTCTGGAAGAGGGCTGGGATGATGCCTCTGTGTCCTGAAGTATCCCTTTTAGATGGTGGAGGTGATAGATAACCTTTCCCTGAGACACATTGCGAGGCTGAAAACCCTCAACTGTGACTAAATAAAAAGGATATTACAAAGGTCTGGGTGGTGGTTGGTTGGATTTTGTCTTGTTTCCTTCCCCCAGGCAGTGCTGGCACTCCAGTGATGTTCAACAAAAACGGTGACGCCCCGGGGCGCTACGACATCTTCCAGTACCACACCACCAACACCAGCACCCCGGGCTACCGCCTCATCGGCCAGTGGACAGATGACCTCCAGCTCAACGTGAGTCAATTTTATTCTTTGCTTGCTCTTTTCCTGTCAGATATAGTCACCAAATGCTGGTTTTTAATTCATCCTGCAAAATTTAATGGGGATCCTCACTGTTTCTCTGTAGCTACGCAATGTGGGTGTTCTATTATGTTCCTTTACTCTGTCCTGCAACCTTTTCTCTGGACCGTGAATACCAAAGTTCCTCAGACTAATAGAGACATTCGATGTTCATGCAAATCTTATTACTTTTTGTGCATCTGAAGTCCACAGTTGCCAACTCAGGAAATGAAGCACTAGTGTGTTGGAGTTTGAAACCAATGGTCTTTCATTTGCAGATGCTTTTCACTTTGCCTGATTTTAGAAAAGCTGAAACTAAATGTTTTTTGCATGGCTTACTTTTTCCGATGTTACTTTTAAGCGTGTGGCAAAGATACCCATATGAACGAGGTGGCCTTTTTGTAACGACAGCGAGAGAAAAACAGGCAGTAAGACCAGGTGATCAAAGGCCCTCAAGATACTTTGATGTTTCCCGGTTGAAGAATACACGACTGGTGATTGAGAAAGCTGCTGGAGGGTCTTGTCGCTTCCATATGAGGATGGTCTGTGACAGGTCTCTGGAGATCTGGGTTCAGGCTTCCTGCTTGACTTTGTGCAAGTTGCTTGAGCCTCAGGTTCATGGAGAAGTGGTGCCAGTTTAACCTCATAGTTATTGGACTCCTTGTAGATTGTTGTTAAAGCACAAAGACCGTGCTTGCCGTTCAGTTTGAGTACTCTTCAGCAACAGAGCCTGAATAAAAGCAAAATGCCAGTTGCTAAAAAAGGGTTTTCCTCTCGCTGTCAAAGTTCCCACCCAGGGTTACACCAGCTCCCTCTCCTAGCATCGTCCATCCTTTCTGTTTTTAATATTTTCATGTCTTTTGTTAAACGATGTGATTAATGGGGGTTACGGAGGGCTCAGTCTTTCAGATTGGCCACAGTATTTAGGTCTTGAATTTGAGCTCATTTTCTTTTGCTATGTGCTCTGTCAGTGTTTTTTTGACTTCTGATGTTCAATTTAAGGAAAACAATATTAACTTGTAATTTACAGTTATTTTAGCAAAAAGTATTAATATTTTACTAAGTAAATCCTTCTTTATGTAAACTGCATGTCCTGTTTCATTAAAATGTAAATCTATATTGATGGAACTTGATTTGTATTCCTGTTGCTGTGTTAAATGTTTCCATGAAAAGCACACTTTCCTCACCCTCATGTCCTCACAGGGTTATATCAGTAGTTGGGATTCTCTCACTAACTTCACCTCTACTCACTTACAGGTCCTAGTTTCTCACACAGGATTAGCATCGCCGTGATAATAGTCTCTGTATGTATTTTCTTGCAGTAATGAAGAAAATTGTGGAGTTTCGAGAAGTCAAAGATTCCCCAAAATAGCCAACCACAAAAAAATAACTGCTATTGAATACATCCCAGGAAAAACAACCAAAGGGTACAATTTGTCTTCAGTAATTATTGTGGAGATGACGCTTTGGGATACATTTCCTCAATTCTTTCTTCTTTAAGGCTAACACAAGAGAGGAAACCCAAAGGATGTTTGGCCAAAGTGCTAATTTTAATTTAGAAAATGCTGAAGTGATGCTTTGTTTTCCGAGAGACTTGTCACCTTGGGCAGTCTCGTTTAGTTCTCTGTGTCTGAATTGCCTCAGTTAGAAAAAAGTTCCTTCTGCCCTACTGTGCAGGCCTTGATGGTAACAACACTCCAGATCTCGGAAACAGTAGGTAAATAAGTGCCAGAGATCGTCACAGGTGAGTAAATATTTTCTTCTCTGTCATTGTCCTCATTCAAAGAAGAAGCAAGAATATTTTCCATTTTGTTTTCCTGGAAGTAGCGCTCCTGTTCAGTCTGTCGTCGGTCTAATCAGCACTGGCACACATCACCCTCCCACTCACAGTGCTTTGGAGTGAGAGGCAGAAGTATGGGGGGCACAGTGCTGATTAATCTTGATAGCCGTACCAGAATTCTCCATGTAAAACTACAGAATAACTTCTTTTTTATGTTTCTCTGTTGCATAAGACACTAGATAAGCTTAAGAGGTCTTTAGCATCATTTGCAAGTCAAGATACAATAAACCAGTTTGTTTTCTTTTTGCTGTCATGAGTTTTATGAGGTTCCTGAGACTGTGTGTTTCTCTGTCCTGCTTGCCTCTCCACATCTCGCTGTCGCCTTTGCTTTTTTATGTCTGGCAGGAGCGTTGGGTGGAGGCAGACGTCCACTCCCTCCACATGCAGGAGCCAGGCTCTGCTCTCCCTTTAGCAAGTCCGTGTGACAAGTGTCTCCACTGAGCGCAGTTGACTCACCCTGGAGTTATGTTTCTCTGAGGTCAGAATTTGGTCAACAACCAAGAAGATGTTTTATGACTTTTTTGCTGCGGCAAACTTGGGGCATCACGTAGTTTTGACGTGACGACCAAATTTTCTTCTGCTTGCCTGATGTCAAGCAACCCAGCACAACTCTGCCTGGTACCCTGTGCATGACTGAGTAATGGTTTGGCTGTATTTTGCAAATACATACGCAAGGATAAATTGAGCAGATGTCTAATTTTAAATAGCTTGGCCAGTACGCCATGAAAAAGTGTTGCAGCGCTTCGTTCTCCCTGCAGTGAAGTTGTGATTACGAGATGCCCACCTGCCTCCCGTAAGAGGTCGTGGATGAGTTCCTCCTGCCTCTCTCTGTCTTTTATGAAGATTATGTCAGGCTCTGTCAGCCCCTCCTCAGCCCCCTGCATGCAGATTTAACGTGCAATATTTCTGGTCTGTGTCCTCCTCCAGTTTGAAATGCTTTGCCCAGAGTTTTAGGATCAGAAATTTGGCCAGCTGCATCCCTATTGAAATCCTCTATTGTGACCCCCCAGAGCCTGTTGATTAGCAAAGATACAGCTCATGCAATCAGATAATAAAGCTGTTGGCCACAGTAATATCAGCATCTGAAACCAGGACTGTATTTTTGTAAGCTGGTGTTGGGGGCATATTTGTGTACTACAAGGCAGTTGCATCATGATGAGCACTATTTTGATGGTATTTAGCTTTAATGTGTTTCAAAAGCCAAAAGTGCCAGTAGTGAAGAGGAGGGAATCTGCCATGGGGAAAAGGAGGTGTGCCATGTACCAGCTGCTTTTTTGGTTGGTTTGCTTTCCAAAGGCTTTTTACTTCAGCAATAACTAGGTTTTTAATGCCCGTGTTGTTCAAGCAAAAGGAAGTAGTGGGAACACGACCCTGTTAATCGGGAAGGCAGAGTGGCCAGGAGACAGGTTCTGCTTTCATGCCTTGTGTTTCACTTTGAACTTTAGAAGGATAATTAACTCTCCCTGCTCTGCTTCATGCCACGTCCTCCAGAGATCCAAGAACAATAGATGTCTTCTTGGCACGCCTGCCTTTATTTGCTGGTCCCTGTAAAGCACTTGGCGGTTGCTCAGGCAATGTAGGAATGCAAGAACTGGCTGACCAGCTCCCAGCCCTGGCTGCCCTCTCTGAATGCAGCTTCTAAGGGTTTGAGGTGCCTGACAAAACCAGAAACACATCTCCTGGAGGAACTGTTGTGCCTGAAGGAGAAAGAAATGGATCACTCTCAGAGGAAGTGCAGGTTCTCATGGGAAATTCGATGATATTGCTTCTCGTTCTTTTTATATGGAGTTAACTCGGCAGGTCCCAGGTTTATTATTTTTTTTCACATTCAGAACCTCTGCAAGTATTTCCAAAGTGTCAAAATAAAAAAAATAAAAAAAACAACAAAAAAAACCATGAACAAAAAACCAGAAAGAAAACGATCCCTGTGAAATTGCTGGATCTTATTTCTCCAAGGATTTGTGTTCTGTATGCCCTATCGCCGCAGCACTCTCCATCACATTTGCTGTGACTCCTTCCCATGGCCGTCTGCAATTTCTCTGCAGTGCCACAGCCTCCCTCCCACACCCCTGTGTCGTTTGCTGGATGAGCCACAGCCCGTACTGTGGCTGCCCTGGAATTCCACGGCTGCCAACCAGTTGGCTGACTGGCTGAACCCAAAGGGCGAGAGGGATGCTCAGTGTTGTTGGGTGGAGACGTTAGAAAACCATGTAAATGTGGCACTTGGGGATGATCTCAGAGATCTTTTCCTCCCTTAATGATTCTGTGATTCTATGACCTTTCTTCTAACAATCCACTGAGTTTTGCTAATCCTGCAGCCTCATACTAGAAGCCTCTGCTTGCAGCAAATGGGCTTCGAATTGGTTAGCGAGTTCGAAAGTTATTAGGAAAGAAGTTGATATGGACAGGCAGAGCATGCATGTGCTCTCCTTCCTTCAAATTTTCCTCTAAAATGATGGCAAGAAATGCAGAAATTCCCAACAGTTATGCAGAAAAGTAAAGTAAAGAGAGTCTTGTTGTTAATTAATTTTTGTTAAAAACGTGATTTATGGAAAAGTGTTGCCCAGTAAGTAGACTGCTATTTGATTTGGACTGGGAGGTGTTAGAGGTTCAATCTCTTGTATCGCTGAAGTGAGGTTTTGTGTTTGACTGAAAATCCAGAGTTTTGGCCTTTTCTTCCATCTCTACCCTGCTTTCCTCATTTGGTCATTGAAAGGCTGAGCTCATTTAAAGATTTCAGCGTGGGTGGTTTAGCCCTGATTTGGATGCCATCGGGGCACATGGTGGATGCCGTGCCCCATTTCATCTTCACCCTCGTCGTGGCAAGTAATGGAAAGGTTTATAGAATCTTTAGAGTGGGACATCTTCCTAGAGCCAGCTAACATGTGGGGCTTTTTTTGAGTTCAATCTTCTAATTAATGCTGTACTTTTAGCTTATTAGTGTCCGCATGGGGCACATCACATTGTTTTAATTGCGTTGGCATCTCCAACTTGTCACCTGTGTGCTTCCGGCTCAGTGTTATGGCTCAGAAAGTTGCCTCTGGGCACTTGGGTTCTTTTTCGGGCTGAAGAAGGTGTATCCTTCCCTGTGGATGGAAAACATCGTGTCCTGCCC